CTCCTCCTCCTCCTCCTCCTCCTCCTCCTCCTGGTCAGTCTTTTCTTTGGGTGCTCTGCTTGGTGGTGCAGTTTTCTCTTCGAAGGAGCCGCTGCGCGAACTCCTGCCGGATCAGGGACTTCACCGCGTGCTCGTCCACGGGCGGCGGCGGCCGCGGGTGCTCAGCATGAAGAGGCCCCTGCGCGGCCAGCTGGTGCGGGGCCGCGGCTCCTCCCCGGAATAGAGGGTACTCGCCGCCAGAACCTGGGGGCGGGGCCCAGAAGGCCTCGCCATCCTCGACGCTGTCCTCCTCCTCCTCCTCCTCCTCCTCCTCCCTCTCCACCTCCTCCTCCTCCCCCTCCTTCTTCTCCTCGTTCACCTCGTCTTGCTCCTCCACCTCCTCCTCCTCCTCCTCGCCCTCTGCCCAGCCGTGGCGACGAGACGCCTCCAGGAGGCAAAAAAGACGCAGCACGAGAAATGCTGGGGCGGGCCGGCGCGCCCCTGTTGGAGCCGCGCGTCCGACCCGAGCATATGGTACAAAGTCTCGTGGTATATCTTCTCCCGAGAGGCACGGCCAGAAAGCGCCCGCCACGGAGCTTGTGCAGTGAGATTTCCGAGCGCGCGTGTCGGCCTTGCGTGGCCGACCCGCACGTGGTGAAATATGTTTGGGTGGTGCCAATGGGGGGCGGGGAGGTCCGGCTGAAAGAGAGCCTTTGCCACAACAACGCCCGAACTAGAACAAAAACATGTTTCCACTTCCTGCTCGCCGCCAGCGCTTGGGGTGGTTTTGTGATAATCTCCCCCTGACCAAAAACAAAGCATGACTGCCCATGTTGGAGGTGGACATGAATTGACAACTCTCTGTCGCTGTATGGTTGATCTTGGTTGATTATGGGCGACGTCTGCTCTGCAGTGCGGGGGGTAGGATCTGGGCAGGTGCACTCCACTCCTTGACCAAAACCTTGCCCCGATTTGTGGCGGTCACCGCGGCGACCTCCCAAACCACGCGCGCTTTCGACGTGCGGCGCGAGAGGCCCAGAATTTGTTTTTAATGCTTTCAATGAACATGTTGAAGTATTCATGGTTTGCCTCACAATCCGCAGGAGCGCGAGCGCAGGCATTTTTGAAAACTGATGTTGCAACATATGTCTTCGGAACACTCGATTTTGAAATCCTTACGAAACCTAAGGTTGTTTGAAGGATTTCGGCATGCGCGCGCGACGAACAGTTCTGTAAGACTTCGTCCCACTTTTTTGCAAGGGGTTCTTGAACACGTATGATTTTTGATAAACGAGCGTACGCGCACAGTTGGGGATAATATGAATTCATATTTAGGGTGGACGATGGGGCATAACCACATGTCAATTGCAATACGGAAAGGGGAGATGTTAAGTCCAGGGGGAAGGAGATCCTAATACTCCTTTAGAATCGAGACTCCGTGTGGTGCGCAATACAGTCGGGCTGCTGAAGTAAGGAACGCTCAATAAGGAACGAAGCCCCTCTGCGGCTTCAAAAAAGCCTGTGTGCACGAGTACTGGCTAGAGGAGCAACCGCGGAAGGACGTAAGGAACATCGAGCCCCTTCCAAATCCAAACTGTTTCTGATTTCAGCGTCTTGACTGTGTGGCCGCCTGACTGCCGCGCAGGCCCAGACCACGGGCGGCCACGAGGCGGCGACGGTGGCGGGCGACAGCCGCCACGCGGCTGCCGCACCGCCGCGCAGGCCCAGTCCCGTAGCAAAGAGATAAGAACCCACTGAGTGCAAGCACTGTTGGAACGTGTCTTTTGTGTGGAGGAAGGAGGACTATGCACATCACAGATTCTGGCCAGGCCCATCCTGAGCCCAGGATCGGTGCATACGCCCTCATACCTTGGCCAGGAAGGTATATGCACCGATCCTGGGTCAAGGATGGGCCTTGCCAAGATCGGTGCATGTGCATAATTCTCTTCGCCCGATTATTTGGCGTTTCGGCACTGGGCGGAAGGGGGGGGGGGAAGGGAGGGAGAGTGTCTGGCTCCGGACCTCTGCTTAGTGCGACTGCGTGCAACAGTGCGTCCTATGGGGGGGACTCCACCTGCTTGAAACGGGCGCCGAAAACAGTCAAGATCTACTCCATGGGGAGGGGGGCAGGGGGTGGAAGGGGCCGCGCCGATCGGCAAAACAATGAACAAGACTACGAGCTCTAGAGGCCTCCTAGATGGGATCGAATGATCGCGCCTCATCGGCAATACATCGGCGATGCATCGGCGATGAATCGGCGATGCACCGGCGACGCATCGGCGACGTCGGCGATGCATCAGCGACGTCGACGTGAAGAAAACTGGGCTCCGCATCGAGCCGCATCGCCGATGCATCGGCGATGCGGCGCGATCCTCCGATCCCATCAGCTGCGATCCCATCCAAGAGGCCTACAATCACTTTGTGAGAATTTGTTATTCGGCGTTTCGACATTGGGCGGAAAGGTGGGGGAGGGGGGAGGGGGTCTGGCTCCAGACCTCTGCTGTAGGGCGACTGCGCTTTTTGTTTTGTTTGGAGGTGGGTTTTTTAAAGGAGCGCTGCCTCTGGGGGAGACGCCAACAGACTGGAAACAGGCTGCCCCCAAAAACAGCAAGAGATCTGCTCCATGAGGGGGGGGGGGCGGGTGGGGGTGGGATGGGGGTGGGGGAGGGGGGCGGGCGTGGGCGCCCGCGCCGATCGGCAAGACAGGGAATCAAAAATGAGCGCTTCGGGGAACTCTCTGCCTCCGCGCCTCTGGCTCTCCTGCGGCGGGCCTCTCGCCGCCCCCCCCGGCGGGCGCCCCCCGCCCGCCCGTGGCCGGACCTCGGGAGCCCCCCCGGCGGGCCCCGGGCAGGCCCACCGACCCCCCCCGCGGGCAGGCGCGGGGAGGGGCCGTGGCATCCGGGAGACGCCTCGTGCCCCCAGCCATGCCGCCCCTCGTGGTGGAGGAGGAGGAGGACGAGGAGGAGGAGGAGGAGGAGGAGGAGGAGGAGGAGGAGGAGGAGGAGGAGGAGGAGCGATGCTAGACAAGCGCGTTCCACCAGGGCTGGACCGAGCCGCTGCTGACATCGCTCCGTGCTCGTGCTGTCTGCCGTCGTGCGCTCTGCCTGTCTTCCAGCATACCTCCCTGCCGAAGCGGAGAGCAGAACACAGCCGAAGTCCAGCAGAACAGCGTTTCGGTCCGGCCCTGCGTCTACTCGCAGAGCAACTGTTCGCAGATTAAATGGCCTGGATGCGCCGCTGGGATAAAGGAATCCACGTCTCTTTTCATCGAACGTTCGCGAGTAGGTCCTCTGCGAGGCCATGACGCCCTGGTATTAGGTCGGGCATGCCCTCCTACAGGCGGACCTTGGAAGCCGAACCACATTCAACAATAGTCAGGCCCAGTAGAAACATCGTCCCCAGACTGATCTTTGACCATTTCTGGATACACCCTCCTGTGGAGGGACCTGCCCGACTCCTCCCGAGTGGTGCAATCGATTTCCTCTCCTGGCAAAGACGGCTTAGCCCTACAAAGCAAACTCTGCGTGGCGGCGCCCCCGGCCGGCACGCAGGCCCTGCACGGTTTCACCCGGGGCGGTAGGCGACCCGAGGAGGAAGGAGGAGGAGGAGGAGGAGGAGGAGGAGGAGGAGGAGGGGGATGATGATGATGATGATGATGATGATGATGATGATGATGATGATGATGATGATGCGATATGATGATGGCGATGATGATGATGATCGAGGAGGAGGAGGAGGAGAGAAGGAGGAGGAGGAGACGAGTAGGAAAGAAGGGGGATGATGGTTGATATGATGAGGATGAGGAAGGAGGAGGAGCGAGGAGGAGGAGGGGGATGATGATGATGATGATGATGATGATGATAGTGATGATGATGATGATGATGAGATGATGATGATAAGGAGGATGATGTGATGGGAGGAGGAGGAAGAGGAGGAGGTACGGACGAGGAGGAGGAGGGAGAATGATGATGATGATGATGATGAGGAGGAGGAGGACGGAGGAGGAGGAGGAGGAGGAGGAGGACGGGTCGCCTAAGCCCTTCGCAGACACCCTCCAGCATGCCCTCGGCGTGGCTGCGGGCACATCTCCCTTGGGGTGCCCGGGGGTGCGGGGTGCCCGCGCCCGCTCCCTTCCCCCCAATGTGGGCCAGCGGCCTCCCGAGTGGCGCCCGAGCAGAGCGGGCATCACCCCCCCCAAAAGAGCGGCGACGACGAGGGCCCCCCGACACCAGGCGTCAAGCGAAAGCGGCCACGACGGCGGCCACCGACACCAGGACGCCTCGTGAAGCACCACGGCGACGGCGATACGTCCTCATCGAACGCCCGGGGGGGGAGATGCATCGCCCTTGACCTGAGTGATGAGCGGGTCGGTGGATCGCGCCTCATCGACGGCACACCGGCGATGCATCGGCGATGCATTGGCACGGCGCGCTGGCGGCGTCGGCGATGCACCGGCGACGCCAGCGTGGGCAGCAGCGGGCTCAACGTCGAGCCGCACCGCCGATGCATCGCCGATGCGGAGGGAACCCTCGCCCCCACCTGCTCGGGCCCCGTCTGGGAGGCCCAGGTCGGCGGCGAGCGAGAGGCGGAAGCGAGACGGAGAAGGCCTTCTCCGAAGGCCGCGGGACTTCTCAGAAGTCCCCGCGCCTTCTCACGAGCTTTTGGTGTCCTCGGGGGAGGCTTCGAAACCTTCTCACAAGGCCGGGGGACTTCCGAGCCTTCTGGGAAGGCCTTCTCCTTCTCATTTCCCCCCCGGGCTCGCCGCCGACCGGATCAGTAGTCCTCACCCCCACTCCCAGACCCCCAGCGTCATGATTTTTTTTTTCACGATGTCGACCCCAGAAGTCTGGACCCCTGCTCCGGGACCGGTCTTTCATCCCGAGTCGCTTTTTGACGGTCCCGAGGCCCCTCGAGGGCCACCAAAGGCCGAAAAGAACGGAAGACGTCCCGTCGTGATTCTTCTTGTAGACGAACAAAGAACGAGAGAAGCATACACTTTCGACGGTCAGCGCGGATTTCTTGGATCCGCGCTAGAGCCCCCTCCCTGGCGCGCGGAGCGAGGCAGTGGCGGCGCCGGAGGCGCCGCCAAGGGGGCCAAGAGCGGATCCAAGAAATCCGCGCGGACCGTCGAAAGTTTACGCTCGTGCCGATTTCAGTTCTTCAAAAAACCTCCCGTCGTGATCTTTTTCGTCCTCCTTTTTTCGTCCTGACTCGAGGGGTTGGCGCCTGGGCCAGAGGAGGAGGGGGGGGAGGAGGGGGAAAAAAAGAAGGGAGAAAGAGGAGGAGCGAGGAGGACGGAGGAAGGAGAGGAAAATGAGGAGGAGGAATTTGAGGATGAGGAGAAGGAGGAAAATTAGGAGGCGTGGGAGGTGGAGGAGAAAAGTGAGGAGGAGGAGGAGGAGGAGGAGCGAGGGAGGAGGAGGAGGAGGAGGAGGAGGAGGAGGAGGAGGAGGAGGAGCAGGAGGAGGTCTTGGCTCGCGGGGGTCGGGGCTCGGACGCCCCCGACTGCCGCGGCCACACTTCCGAGCCCAAGCGGCCCGGCAGGGCCGCCGGCCCCGGCTGGAAGGCGCCAGGGCCCTCGGCGCCCAGCAGCCCGCGGTACATCCGCGCGCGGCCGCCGCGGGCGCTGGCGGCGGCGAGCGTGCGAGCGGGCTAAGACGAAGCTACCCAGGCCTCCCCGCGTTTAGAGGAGGAATAATAATACGAACAAGGGAAATAATAATGCTAATACGAAGACTAGAAATAATGGTATTAATAACAAGAGCAATCATAATACTAATCGTGAGACTAACATTAATAAACATACGACTCAATCAAGAATAATATACATACTTATACTAATGTTAATAAGAAGAACAATCATACCAATACACATGCTACTAATCATAAATAACACTAATACTAATAACAACACTAAGAATAGTCATCGCCAGAAGAAACGGCACAAACATACACTTTTGGCTCTCCGCGCGGATTTCTTGGATCTGCGCTGGACCCCCTCCCTGGCGCGCGGAGCTCGCCAGGGGCGGCGCCGGAAGCGCCGCCTCGGGGTCCCGCGCGGACCCAAGAAATCCGCGCGGAGCGCCAAACATTTATGCTTATGGTCCCTGTTCTATTATCATTATCATCATCATTATCATTACTCTTGTTATTGTTCGTAGTATTCTCATGATTGTTATTATTATTATTAATATTATTATTATTATCATTATTATGATCATCATCATCATCATCATCATTATTATTATTATTATTATCATTAGTAGTATTATTATCATTATCGTTCTTCGTCTTCTATTATTATTATTATTATTATTATTATTATTCCTAGGGCAGGAATAGGACAAACAAATCGGGTACGGGTAAAAATTGAAAATCTCGGAGATCCAGCGGCTCTGGAAGATGTCTCGGGGGCGCCGCGGCCTTCTCAGAGCGTCCCGGAACACTCTGTGAGCGTCCATGAGCGTTCTGGCACGCTACGGTTAGGTCGGGCATGTCCCCCTAGAGGCAGATTTTGGACGACAAAGTAAGAGTAGCCAAACAATGATAGAAACAACTGTCAGAACTAGTCGAAAAATCGTGCTCATATTATTTCCCGACATTTTTTTTTGAATATCAGAGGAGCAGGCCCGACTTAACGCTATGGAGCGGACGTATCCTCGCCCTGGCCCCGCCCGGACGAGCGCGCGCGCGCGGGCCCGTGCGCCTCGTCGGGCCCTCGGGCTCGAGCCGGGACAGCGGTCGGTGCCCGGACGAGCGCTGTCTGGCTGCTTTCCGCAGGGGCTCCGCGAAGGCCTTCGGCGGTCCCCGTGGAACTCTTGGATCGGCGCTGGGCTCCTCCTCCTGCTCCTCCTCCTGCTCCTGCTCCTCCTCCTCTTCCTTCTCCTCTTCCTCCTCCTCCGCCTCCTCCTCCTCCTGCGCCTCCTGCTCCTCCTCCTCCTCCTCCTGCTCCTGCTCCTCCTCCTCTTCCTTCTCCTCCGCCTCCTCCTCCGCCTCCTCCTCCTGCGCCTCCTGCTATGCACTTCGTCCCTCTTGCTCCTCCCATCCTTCCTGGTCATGCATCCCCTCCTTTTCCTTCTCTCCGCCTACTCTCGCCTCCCCCGCGCCCTCCTCCTTCCTTTCTGCGCCTTCCTGCTCCTCTCCTCCTCCTCCCTCCTCCTTCCTCCTCCGCCTCCTCCTCCTCTTCCGTCTCTACGCCCCCCCCTCCTCCTCCGCCTCCCCCTCCCCCCTTGCGCCCTCATGCTCCTCCTCCGCCTCCTCCTTACTCCTCCTCCCCTCCGCCTCCCCTCCTCATCCTCCTCCGGCCACCCCCCCCCCCCCCCCCCCCCCCCCTCCCCCCTCCTAGCCCCTCCCTCCTCCTCCTCCTCCTCCTCCTCCTCCTCCTCCTCCTCCTTACCCCCTCGAATCAGGACAACATAATCACGACGGGAGGTTTTTCGAAGCACAAAAAAGAGCATGACATAAACTCTCGACGGTCCGCGCGGATGTCTTGGATCCGCGCTTGGCCTCCCTGGTGGCGCTGGCGCCGCCACTAGCGCGCTCCGCGCGCTGGGAACGGGGTGCAACGCAGATCCAAGAAATTCGCGCGGGCCTTCGCAAGTTTATGATTATGCAAATGCTTCTTCGACCCCAAGCACGTGCTGTCCTGATTTTCCAGCACGGGTTCCGCGGAAGTCCGGACCCCTTCCCCAGGGCCAGTGCTGTATCCCGAGTCGCTTGTCGACGCTCCCGGGTCCCAGCGAGGGCCCGCAGATGCCGAACACTGCCCAAAACCTCAAGTTCTTTTATCATACATATATGTCTTTTATATATAATTGTTTTTAAAGCCGCGAGTGTGTCTTGGTGGTGGGGATGGCGGTGTCGTTGGCGATCGAGGCGGCGGACGGCCTGCCGCCGGCATCCCCCAGACAGGCTCGTGCCACTCGGCACCTCCCGGGCGACGCGCGGGCTCTCCGAAGTCCTGCAGTTTTTGTATGCTCGGCGGTGGGCGCTCTCTGGCCACACCGCCGCCCGGGCGGCGCCACAAGACGTTCGTGCTCGATGCTCGCCGGGGATCTTCTGGCCCGGGTCGATCCAGACCCGGGCCCGCCTCCTCCTCCGCCTCCTCCTCCTCCTCCTCCTCCGCCTCCTCCGCCTCCTCCTCCTCCTCCTCCTCCTCCTCCTCCGCCTCCTCCGCCTCCTCCTCCCAGGCAGGTTCTGGAGAATCCTGCAAGATCCTGCCAGATCCTGCGCCCAAGCCCGGGCCAATGCGAAGGGTCCCGCGCCCAAGCCCGGGCCAACGCGGCCCTGGCCCTGCAGGACCCTGCATGATCGGGCGCTCTGGCTGACCCCCGTTGACATTGACCCCCGTCTCAAGGCTCCCGATCTATTCGGGCCGGGCGAAAAGGGGGGATAACAAAGGGGGGTTTGAGAATCCGCTCACGTAGCTGATTTTCCCGGCGCCTCCCGGCGCCGGAGGCGCCCATGTATCGAGGAATGGGGCCCTCGGTGGGGCCGACACCAGCTGCATGCAGCAGATTTCGTAACCACCCCTTTCCCCTTTCCCCCCCCCTTTCGTCCAGCCCGAGCGTAGGTGAACGGAGGGAGGCCGGATGGAAAGAGCTAGTATGTCCCAGAGGAGGTTGGGGCGCTCATGGAATTCCTCAAGGGGTTGTGGCAGGAAGGAAGGAGGGATGATGGTGATGATGATGGTGATGATGGCGATGATGATGGTGATGGTGATGATGATGGTGATGATGATGATGATGATGGTGATGATGATGGTGCTGATGATGATAATGATGATGATGATGATGCTGATTGTGATGATGCTGCTGATTCTATGCTCGTCTCGGACGTACGCCTCCACCGGGGGGGCACACGATACCTGCGGTGGTCCTCGGGTTACGACTCCGGCCACGGGCGGCCCCTCGGGACGCTCCTATGGGCGCAGCTCGGAGGGCCCTCGGCGGGGCGCAGCTGCTGGCCCGCCCTGCTGAGGCTGGAAAGCCGCCGGGAACCAGCGAAGGCGTCCGAAAGCCTGGCACCTCGCACCCGAAATGTCCCCCCCTCCTCCTCCGCCTCCTCCTCCTCCTCCTCCTCCTCCTCCTCCTCCTCCCTTGAGCTTTATCTGGGACGCACAGAGACATACTAATACTGCATGTCCTCCTTGGGGGCGCGCGTCCGACCCGAGCATATCGCAGACCCATCTTTCAGCAAATCGTTTCCCGAGCGGTGTGCCAGAAAGCGCCCGCCACGACGCATATACTATAAGATTTCTCGGTGCGCACGTCGCTCCTGGGGGGCAAATTACACACAGTATTAGCATGTTGGGGTGACGCCGATTATCCTCCCTTCTCGATGTGTCCCTGAGTCCCAAGAGATACCGACACCGCTAGCCCCCAGACCTCTCTGGGTGTGCGTTCTCCCCAGAATGTTGAGGCGAGTCCAGCGGTGGCGACGAGGGCCTCCCAGGAGGCCCCCCAAAGGCGAAAACGAGGCAAGGGTAGCAGCATCGAGACCTGTTCCTCCTCTGAATGGTGGCGATGGTGGTGTCGATGGTTCGGGCGCGGCCTAACCGACCCTGCAAACCGCCCCCTGTGACGTCAACCTCGCCTTTCAGGCTCTCCTCCGGCTGCATACAATTACGTCTTGGGGCGAATACGTATGAATGGGTCCTCTTCTTCTTAGCTCCCCGCCGCGCTCCGAGGCGGTCCGACGAAGACGGCGTCGTGCTCCCCAAGCCCCAACGGTGCCGACTGCAAACCGCACCCTGGCGCAACCATACGAGGAGGAGGAGGAGGAGGAGGAGGAGGAGGAGGAGGAGGAGGAGGAGGAGGAGGAGGAGGAAGAGGAGGAGGAGGAGGAGTGAGGAGGAGGAGAAGGAGGAGGAGGGGGAGGAGGATGAGAGAGAGAGAGAGGAGGAGGAGGAGGAGGAGGAGGAGGAGGAGGGAGGAGGAGGGGAGGAGGAGGAGGAGGAGGATGAGGAGGAGGAGGAGGGGATGGAGGAGGAGGAGGAGCAGGAGGATGGAGGAGGAGAAGCAGGAGGAGGAGGAGGAGGAGGAGGAGAAGGAGGAGGACGAGGGGGAGGATTGCACGAAGATGACGATGGGGCGGCGGCTGCGGCCGCGGAGGGCTGAGCCCGCGGCCGGCGGTGCCGCGGGGCGCCACCCGCCGCTTCGGTACCCCGGGCGTCCCGCTCCAGCCTCGAGGGCGCCGTCGCCGTCGCCGCCGCCGCCGCCGCCGTCGCCGCCGCCGCCGTCGCCGCCGCCGCCGCCGCCGCCGTCGCCGTGCCGTCGGCGGCCGCCGCCGCCGCCGCGCCGACGTCGCCGTCGTCGTCGTCGTCGTCGTCGTCGTCGTCGTCGTTCGTGTCGTGTCGTGTCGTCGTCGTCGTCGTCGTCGTCACCGTCGTCGGTCGTCGCGTCGCGTGGGCCGTAGTCGCCGCCGCCGCCGCCGTCGCCTGTCGCCGACGCCATCGCGTGCCGTAGCCGTCACCGTTCGCCGTCGCCGTCGCCGTCGTCGAGTCGTCGTACGTCGTCGTTGTGGTAGTTCGTCGTGGTCGTCGTCACGTCGTCGTCGTCGTCGTCGTTGTCGCGTGTCTTCGCCGTCGCCGCGCCGCACCGTCGTGTCGTCGTCGTCGTCGTCGACGTCGTCGTCGTCGGCGTCGCGTCGTCGCAGTCGCCGTGGCCGTCGTCGTCGCCGCCGCCGCCGTCGACGTCGACGCCGCCGTGGCCGTCGACGTGCCGTCGCCTCGTCGCCGTCGGCCGTCGCCTGTCGCCGTCGCCGTCGCCGTCGCCGTCGCCGTCGCCGGTCGTCGGTCGTCGTCGTCGTCGTCGTCGTCGTCGTCGTCGTCGTCGTCGTCGTCGTCGTCGTCGTCGTCGCCGTCGTCGTCGTCGTCACCGCCGCCGCCGCCGTCGCCGCCGCCGCCGCCGCCGCCGCGGCCGCCGTCGCCGCGGAGGAGAGGGAGGGATTGGGGGGGAGGGGGAGGAGGAGGAGGTGGAAGGATGGGAGGAGGAGGAGGAGGAGGAGGAGGAGGAGGAGGAGGAGGAGGAGGAGGAGGAGGAGGAGGAGGCAGGAGGAGGAGGAGGAGGATAAGGATTCAGATCAGCAGCAGGAGATGGAGGAGGAGGAGGAGGAGGAGAGGAGGAGGAGGAGGAGGAGGAGGAGGAGGAGGGGGAGGAGAGTGAGGGATGATTGGGAGGGTAACTGGAAAGTGGCCAGGATGAGGAGGAGGAGGAGGAGGGAGGAGGGCAGAGGAGGAGTCTGATGGGGAAGGGGGAGGGGAGAAGGAGGAAGAGAGAGGACAGATGAGGAGAGTGATGGGGAAGGGGGCGGAGAACAAGGAGGAAATAGAAAGAGGGAGGCGATGAGCAGCGGGGGGGGGGAATGAGGACCCGCAGGACCAACAAGAAGAGAGAAACGCTTCACAAACGCTCGGCCCTCGACCCTCGGACCTAAAATCTGCCCTCCTCCTCTTCCTCCTCCTCCTCCTCCTCCTCCTCCTCCTCCTCCTCCTCCTCCTCCCCCTCTTGGCCCTCTGGCCTCCTTACCCCCTCTTCGGCGCCCTTTACTTCGTGGCGTCCCCTGAAAAATCAACCTCCAGACCTCCCTCGGGGTGTGCACAATGGAACGGTGAGGGGATTCCAGCCGTGGCGACGAGAAGACTCCCAGAGGCCCCCAGAAAGGCACACCTGGCCCCTCGGTCCTCAGGAACGTTTGAGTTTCCGCCGCATGAGCCAGTTCCTCAATGTGAGCGTTTTCTTACTCGGCGTTTCGACATTGAGCGGAAAGGGGGGGGAGGGGGTGGGGGTGGTCTGGCTCTGGACTTCTGCTTAATGCGACTGTTTGCAACAGTGCGTCCTATGGGGGGTGACTCCACCTGCTTGAAAACGGCGCCAAAAACAGCCAAGATCTACTCCAGGGGGGGGAGGGGGTCCGAGGGCCCGCGCCGATCGGCAGAACAATGAATAAGAAAACGATCACAATTCCTAAGAATGTTCCCACATTCTTCCCTACTGCTGGGCCGGGCGGGCCTGGCAGATGCCGCCAATGATCTCCAGACCTGCCTAGCCGTTCCCTGCCCCATCCGGCCAACCGCTGCATTCCTTACGGAGTTGGTCGTTTCGCATTCGCTACAAGATCCCCTTGCCGTCGTTGCCCGCCTCTTTGGGGCAAAGACCTCCGAGCTTGAAGGCTTTGGCAGTCTTCTTTTTCTTCTCCTCCTCCTCCTCCTCCTCCTCCTCCTCGCCCTGGGCCCCAGCGGTGCCGCGAGCCCGCCTTGCCTGTCCACGCGCTGGGCCAGCGACGTGATCTCGGCCACCATGCAGGAGAGCAGCTCCGACAC